CCAGTCATTGCTCCCCCATCCTCTTTTCCAGTATCCCCCCCCCCCCCCCCCATGGTGTCCCGCTTTACCTATGTTAAAATCTGGTCACCTTAGGCTAGGAAGGTTTCCTAGGGAGTTAACACTGGAAGAGGCTTTTTCACCTGCTTGGCGTCAATCAGGACCCAACAGTCTTACCTCTGCCGCAGGAGGACCGCAGGTTAGTTCAGGAAGCAGCCGCGCAGGAAGCCTCAGGCAAGGGTGTTCGCGGCCACAATCCCCACCCGCCCAAAGCTCTGGTTTCCATGGCAATGGTCCCTCTTCACAGGGATTAGTCGGCCGTACCAGGTCTTCGGAGAAATCCTGGCCTCAGCTCACCTGGTTACCTGCCCCACGATCACGCCGAGGCCACAGCAGTCATTGTGGACAGCAAGACCAGCTCAGCACACGGCATCCTACTCCTTCCGCTAAGCTCGTCTCCACGGCAACGCGCCTAGTCGCACCACGGTGGCCGCCGAAGGACAATCTCACTGCGTCCGCAAACTTCTCCGGCTAGGCTCTCGCGTCCCGCCCTGTCGCCTGTCTCCCAGGCAACGTGCAGGGCACCGCTCCAGGCTTCCGCCCGGGGATTCACTACGCGTCCGCGCGCCTGCTGAGGATGGCTGGTAACCCGGCTCCTACTTCCCAGGCCTGCCCTTGCATGGACGATGGAACGACGTTGCCGAAGAGGACCTCAGTCACGTGGGACCCGGGCTTATCCTCGGATTTGGGGTCCGCCGCCCGATCAACTGGCAGTTCCTGGGCCAAATTATTTCCGCGCGATAAGTTCGGCGGCCGCCTGGACACGACCGCCGGAGTCGGTCCGCAGGTCTCCTTCCTGCGGCCGCGGACCGCGCAGACGCCGGTGCTCTTCAGGTGCGGTCTTGGTGCCCGGAGCGTTCGTCAGACCCTCGGACCCCTAAGGGAGCCCGGACTCTCAGGCCCGCGCTCCCTCAGGCGGACCTCGGCCCTGACTTTCCCGGAGACGCTGGTCCCCTTGTTTAGACCTGGGAGGAGTCTGGATTTGTCATAGCCTGGGGCCCCAGCTCCTTCCTAGTCCAGCTTTTCGGGCCCCCAGAAACGTTAATGCCCTCAGCCCCGACTCCTGGGAGAAGCCGGACTTCCCATTTCCTACAAATTGATCTCGGCCTTTAAGTCATCCAGACCTTTCAATCCTCCAGGCAGACATCGTGTGGCTCCAGGGCCCTTTAAAGCTAGACAAGGCTCAGGTCCTCTCAGTCTCGAACCCGTCCTCACACCCTTTTCCTTAGCCTCTGTGTACCTAAGTGGCCCCAGAAAAGCCTCTAGTTCTTTTTGCCTTGACCCAATCCTCACGAACCCCAGTTCCCCCGACCCCTTCTATTCCACAACCCCTCTCATAGCGTCCTCACAGGCTCCCACGGAGGACTTAGCGGAGGAAACCAAATTTCGTTAAAAATGACATTATTTATTACTTGAAAGGGAATATTTCCAGTCATTGCTCCCCCATCCTCTTTTCCAGTATTGGAAAATTCGGTGCCCCACTGAGTGGATGAAGCATATTTTATTTGTCTTTAAATATTTCAGTTTTTTTTTTTTTTAAACAGGATTTGGAGGCCTATACAAGTCAGAAAAATGTAAATGGAAGATTGGGATGTTTGTTCATACTAGTTTGTAAATATAAAAACATTCACAAATCTATAGTTGCAAATTGAAATAAATTAGAATTTATTTAGTCTACATTTCAAAATGTTTTATTTATTTATTCATTATTTATTGAGACAAAGTCTCACTTGTTGCCCTCTCTAGAATGCTGTGACGTCACAGCTCACAGCAACCTCAAACGATCCTCATGCCTCAGCTTCCCAAGTAGCTGGAACTACAGCCGCCCACCATAAGGCCTGGCTATTTTTCTAGAGATGGAGTCTTGCTCTTGCTCAGGCTGGTCTCTAAGAACTCTTAAGAACCCAGAAGGCTAGGATTACAGGCATGAGCCACTACGCCTGGACTTGTTTTATCTTTTAAAATTGTATCTTTTGTTTCTAATTATAAAAGTTCTGTACACTTAACAGAAAGATCAAATAAGACAGACAAGCAAAATGAGGAGCCAGAGATAATCACTGTTAACATTTTGGTATATAATTTTTCCATATCCACTCGTTTATAGATGTTATGACATGCTTATACTTTTTAAAAAATATATCAAGAAGGTCTTTATCTAACAAAAGCAATTAATATAACCTGCTCCTGTGTACCCTCTATGAATCCCCAACAATAAAAAAAATACATCACAAAAAATTGACATTTTAGTAACCTGCTTTTCCCCCCATGTTTAATACACCATGGATATCTATTTCATACATAATTACATGTGTCTTATATATTTCATGTAATACCAAAGTTTATTCAATTGCTTCCCTATTGTAGGTTTAATTTCCAAATTTTACAAAGAAAAAATATATATATATTTAAATGGGAAAAAATCATTTAAAGGTTATATATTTGTAAAAACTTTATCAAAAAGTGAAAATTCAGTGTCTGGAAATATCCATTTTCAACTAATTCGTCATTTTGACCAAATTGTTCCATTTCACCTGGACCACCTGGCTTCATTTTGCTTGCATATCCTATTCTATCTTCCACCTCATCGTCCAGAGTCTCCTAAAACTGCTGTTCCCCCCAAACTTCTCTCACTTTTATAAACTTTTCCCAAACCTTTTACCTTAGAATTTACCTATTAGCCATCTTAACCTCTGTCTAAACTCTTTGTTTTCATTTTTCCCTGCTCTGATCTATCCCCCCAGTCTCCCTTAGGCGTAGGCTATAGAGCAGGCATCCTCAAACTACGGCCCACAGGCTACATGCAGCCCACCTAGGACGTTTATCTGGCCATTGGGTGTTTTTGCCACTGCTGCCTGTCCTGCTTAGCAGTCAACTCATCCTGGGGCCCGCAGTCCAGTCCTCCAATGGTCTGAGGGACAGTGAACTGGCCCCCTGTTTAAAAAGTTTGAGGACCCCTGCATAGAGAAAATGCCCCACATGAATTCATCTCTCTGAACCCTACCCTACAACTTTAACTCCTCTCTGCTAAGACCCCGTCTCTCATCTCATTAAAATGAGTGCTTCTGAGTCCCTATTGACATTTCTCTGTGGCGTTCTCTAGGCCTTTCTACATCCTTCCCAGGATAGTTTTTCATCTCAACATCCCAGAAATACCTTTTTAGTACACCATTTCCACAGGAAGAAACTAATGGTTTCTCCCTTGCTCCTGTGGAAATTTTGTGAAAGGTGGGAGGAGCCTCAGCCACTCTAGAGAACCCCATCCAATTAGGCCCTGGCTCTTGCCCTGGCCCCAGGCATCTGTAACCTGTTCTACTTTCACCTCCTCCCTCCAGCATAATGAATTGCAGTGAAGCATCAACGAAAAAATTTTTACCCAAGAGCAATTTATCTCGGGTGATTATTCGTGACAACCTCAGTGCCCAACGAATCTATGAGATGGAGGTAAAGTAGCCACAAGCTTTTTTCATTAGAGGGTGTTAATGGCTAGACCCTTATTTATTTCATTCTCCCCATGTCTGTCAGGGGGAGGGGATCACAGATAAGAGAGGCTCTAGGAAGACCCATTTTACAAAGGAGGCAATTAATACTTTGGGTTACTGACATACACAAGCTATATCATAGCTGTTCCTGGGCTGGAGGAGCCAGGAAGAAAGACTCCAGGTCTCTTGGGTCTTGTGGCACTTTTTTTCTCAAAGTATTATCTCTCTATTTAGGGAATCCGTGAATAGATTCTTTCAAAGAAAGAAGTCCTGGGTCCTAGAACCTGAATTGGCATGAACACTGTCTTGTCAGTTGTTTTTCTTTGGGAACTATCCCCATTTTCCAGATGAGAACTGTGGCTCCTCTCCCACTTTATACGTCTCAGGGACCCTGCTTGATTAATTCATTAGAGCTATTTTGGGGGCCTGCTTTAAACTGACACTGTGTCAGGCACTGGGAAGAGATGAGTGAACAAGATGGACTCTGGGTTGTACTCATTTCTTCAAGCAGAGCAGCAGTCCAGAATTGAGGTGCTGTTCTCTTCTTGACTCTGTTAAGTGTTCTTCTGTCCTCCAGAGTCAGATCTACTCTGACATTGAAAAAAGTTGGGGAACCTTAAGAGTAGTGCCAGATACTTTTGACGGCCACAGACACCAAAAGAAGAACAGAGACCTGGGTATTTCTTCCTCTTAAACTTCCAGAATGTGATGTAGTGGAATAGATAGATGGGCCAGCTTTGTGTGATCTTGAGTGAATCACATTTCTTCCAGACTCTGTTTTCTTATTTGTGCAATAGGATCTATTAAGACTCTCTCAGTTGAAGGTGATATAAACTGAACTTGAACTAGTTGCAGCAACATAGAGAATGATGGGTTTACAGAATCAAGGATGGACAGGGCAGGGTCGCCAGCACTGGGGACGAGAGGAGCCAGGGGCTGTGTGTGTGTCTTCTGCATTCCCTGTCTCCTTGGTCTGCTGCATTCTGAATGTTGACATCATCATCAGGCTGGCTGCCCCTGGGGAGCAAGGCCACACGAAACCCTGGCCTGTTGAAGACTTCCACTGTTGCTTGACAAATCCTGAGGAATGACTCCAGTTAGACCCAGTTGGGTCATGGCCTCATTCTTGCTTCAGTCATTATGGCTAGGTGGTGTGGGGATATTCTCAGTGGCGTAGGATGGGATTGGGGCCAACCCCTATAACCATTGAGTGGGGAATGTTGTACCTGTGGCAAGTAGGAGGAGGATCTTTGAAATACTATAACGGGAAACTCCTGAGTTGGCTTCATGTGTACCATGGGGCTGTGCCACCATTCAGCTATCCCAAAGCTTCCTATGAAATCCCTATTGAGCCTTTATGTGTTTTATCCATTATGGATTATGTATCAATACCCCCATTAAAGAGTTCAGGAAACAGACTCAGAGAGATAGAATAACCTCACTAAGGTCATCTAGTGAATCATTGCAGGGTTACAAACCTGGGTCTAAGCGATAAATGTGCAGGACATTTTCTCCTAAGGATAGAAACTGTCTTCTCCATGTTTATAGACCCAATGACTAGCTGAGAGTTTGGCTTGTAGGATCTCAGTGGATTTGAGGGCCTTAGTGACAATGTGGCAATGTTTCTGTCTTCCGCAAAAGTGCTTGTGTTAGAGGAAGAGGCAACTTTGGTAATTTCAATAGGGATGGTTAGGATCTAGTGTCTCAGGACACTAGTGTTTCCCAAGTAGTTTTAGCCCTCAGAGGACATTGGCATTGTCTGGAGACATTTTTGGTTATCACAAATGGGTGCTCCTACTACCATTTGGTAGGTAGAGGCCGGGAATGCTGATTAATAAACTATAATATGTGGGACAGATCTGCCACAAAGAATTGCCCAGCTCAAAATGTCCAAAGTGTCTAGGTTGAGAAATCCTGATGTATGGTAAGATTCATGTTGAAGGTGAACTCACTAGCTGAGAGGCCAAGAAAGCCAGCTGTCATGGGATGCTCTAGAAAATGGTATATAAGTAGCCACTTCTCAATGACTGGGTCAGAGTCATCTCAGGTACATAATAAAAATGTAGATTCTTGGCCCCCATTCAAATACAACTAAGCTAGAATCTCTGGGTCTATTATTTTTATCAATATCAATTGACTGAACTGTTTCTGGCTCTTAGCCAGGTTTGGAGAATGTCAATGTGACCTATTATTTAGTGCCCATATTTTCTGTCACCCACCCTCCCTCTTTAACTCCTTGTGTCAGATAATCATGTCAACATTGACTGGCCTTTATGAATTCCTTTGCTTAATTTCTGCTTTGTCTTCCGATAACATAAGTATTAATCAGAATCCCCTAGAAAACTCACTAAAAATGTACACTCCCAGAATCACTTCTCCTGAATTCTGTTTCTGCATGCCCCAAACCTCCCCATACTTCAAAACCCAACCTGAATTTGTATACCAACTCCTCTATGAAGCTTTTCTTGATGTCTCCCTTCTTTGAATTCTGGGCTTTTTTCCCCTCATAAGGTGTGTATCACTTTTTGCCTTGGTTAGAAATATCTGGGCATGTGTCTTACCTCCTGACTATATTTTAGTTTCTTTGGAGATCTGCTGCTGATATTTCCTAGTATCTCTGCCTGAAGTTAGCTCATTGTACTAAATAAGTGAACAAATAACACATAGGATGTGCCTTCCAAGACCTTATAGTCTTGTTGGCGACAGGACAGAAGTTATGTAATAGAAGAAATAAGTAGAATTCAATGTGATATATCACAGACAATATGTGGGATGCACCAAAAGATTAGTTGGGACAGGATGGTAGAAGTTATAGAAGAGGGGAAAAACACAATACACCCTCATTATTCCAACCCTATCCCCAGTCTTTCTGACCAGTCTTGAAATAGAGATGTTTACATCAAAGTTAGGCTCCTAGGCTGCAGACCGTCAGAAGGTACCATATGGGTTGTCTACCTAATGCCCATTTTATTACAAGTAGGGAAACTGAGGCTCCCTGTGAGTCAAGGTATTTATAAAATGAATATTGGGTCATATAGCTGACACATTTTCCACCCACATGTCAGCAGCACAGATGCCTCTCTTGCTTTGAAGTGGCTTCTTCATCCTAACCTCACTTCTGTTTTTTGTAAGATAAGAGCTACAGACAAGACCAAGAAAAAGATGAGCCATTTGTATGATCACCTGAAAAAAAAGTTCATGACGGACCAGCTCAGAAAGCTGGGGCGCTGGAAACGGGAATCCATGAACATCCAGCACTACTTGGATAGCATCCGAATGTACGAGACCCAGTTGAAACTCCAGTCTGCCAGGAAAAACCAGCCACCTTAGTGCTGGCAGAATCATCTTCCCCAGGGTCACAATGATACTAGTCTGAGCAAAGGAAAAGCAGAAACTAGCCAGCCTACACCATCATAGGACAATAAACCAAGACCAGCGGATAGTGGAGCACAAAAAATTCCTCAGCAGTCCTGATTTTCCTTCCCCTGCCCATTCCCTCTATTCTGGTGAAAATGATCCTGATAGTCTTTTAGTTCCTGTAGAAAAGACTGAATCAAGCCAGCTTCCACAGTTAAGGCAAAGATTGACTTTTTGGTGTCCATGTGTCTGAGGTGACGGGCCAGGCCAGGTGTGCTAGGACCATGGTGCCTTAGATGGGAAGGGCTCCGTAATGCCACACTGCCTGGCATTCAGCTGGTAAGGAGGTCAGGACAGGGCATGAGACAGACCTGGCTTAAATGCTATTTCTGCTACCCATCAGCTGTGTGACCTTGTAAACTTCTCTGAGCCTTTGTTTCCTTATCTGAAAGAGGGAGCAGCAAGGGAAGCTGGCTCTAAGGTCTGGCATGATGTAAAGTGCTTGCTTGATTCAGGGCCCATTATTCCCAGTGGTTCTCATCATGATGGCTCCAGTTGCCTTCCAGCTTTGCTCGTCCCTACTCGCTGTTCTGCCTGTTGTTCCTGCCTAAACTCTGAGAGTCCCCACATTGGGCTTTTACTTGTGAAGATCCCGCTTGTTAAGAGGCTTGTTTGAGGCCTCTGAAGCTTCCCAGGGCTGCCTTTTTAATCCTACCAGGCTAATCTCAGTGTCATTTCCTGCAGAGCAATTCCTGACCTCCTCCTGTCTCTGGTCACAAGGGTTTCCTCTCTCTGAGGAACTCATGTTACCTGTGGCAGCATTATTCTGCCTTGCATGGAACCTGTTTGGGCTGAGTATTTGTCCTAACTCCTGATTATATTGTACATTCTTTGAGGATACGGACCAAGAAGGATCCTCCAAGATTCAGTTCAGGCCTCTCTTCTCTTCTGATGCTTCCCTCAACTGGCTCCAGTAGAAAAGACCACTCCTTCCTGTACTTCTGCATGTCTACACCTTTGTGTCTGCATTGAGTTTGGTTTGGCCATTACTTATTTGTACATTCTCTCTCTGATCAAGTTGTGAAAGTCTTGATGACAGTGACGCTGACTTACACATCTCTATAACTGTAAAACCTAGTAAATGGAGTAGTCACCCAGTGTTTTTGAACAAATGACTACTTTATTTTTTCTTGTATTACTCACAGCATTACGACTACACAGAGTAAGCACCTGGTACTTATTTTTTAAGTTAACTGAGTATCCTCATTTTATGGATGAGAAAACTGAGGGCCAGAGAGGTGGCCTGATTTGCCGAAGATCCCACAGCAAATTAGTGGCAGAGAATTAAACTAGGTGTTCTGGCTTCTTTGAAGTGGTCATTCTACATCACCACAGTGGCTGGGTAAGGACCTTAGTCCTCTTGGTAGCTCTTGGAAATCCTCACTGGGATTCTTTGTCATTTCTCTCCCTCTTCCCTCCTTCCTCTTCCCCTGGTCCCCTCTTCTCCCTCCTCTTCCTCCTTCTTACTCCCTTCAACACTGCAGCCTGGCACCATTTGGCAGTCTTTCCTTTGATCTGGATCTCAGCAAGTTCTGAGCCCAGAGGGGCCTGGGTCAGGGTGGGCAGGCATGTTTATGTTTTTATTTTCCCCCTTTACTGTCTTCCTTTGATGACTGCAGCCTGCTGCTTTTCAGTGGGAGCCCAAACAGGTTTTTTTGGATTCTTGTTCATTTCCTTGGCTCAGCACAACTGATTAACATAAATTCTAAATATTTGTGTGTTATTATTCAAGCACTATGACCACGTTTACAAAAAAAGATAAAAAGAAGTCTCTCTTCAATCAACCACTGCTAGCATTTGGGGGTATTTCTTATAATTGAGGTAAAAACAGTCCCTGGGCACACATGGTGGTTCACACCTGTAATCCTAGCATTTTGGGAGGCCCAGGTAGAAGGCTTGTTTGATGCCAGGAGTTCAAGACCAGCTTTAGAAACATAGTGAGACCCCATCTCTACAGAAACATAGAAAAAATTGCCAGGTGTGGTGGTACGCACTATAGTCCCAGCCACTTGGGAGGCTGAGGCAGGAAGATCTCTTCAGCCCAAGAGTTTGAGGTTACAGTGAACCACAATGATGCCAGTGCACTCTGGGCAAGAGAGGAAGACTTTGTCTCAAAAACAAACAAAAAAATCAGTCCCTGAGTTATGGTTTGACACAGGATTTTTCAGCTTTGCAGTGGTGTGAAAGCAATAGGCATTCAGTAGAAATTGTACCTCAAGTACCAGTACAACCATTCTGTTTTTCACTTTTGGTATTAATAAATTACATGGCATATTCACTTTATTATAAACTATATTTTGTGTTAGATGATTTTGCCCAACTATAGATTAACATAAGTGTTCTGAGCATGGTTAGGATAGGCTAGGCTAGCTTGGCGCCCGTAGCACAGTGGTTATGGCACCAGCCACATACACTGAGGGTGGCAGGTTCAGCCCAGGTCAGCTAAACAACTGCAACAAAAAAAATAGCCAGGCATTGTGGCAGGTGCCTGTAGTCACAGCTACTTGGGAGGCTAAGGCAAGAGAATTGCTTAAGCCCAGGAGTTTGAGGTTTGCTGTGAGCTGTGATGCAATGGCACTCTACTAGGGCGACACAGTGAGACTCTGTCTCAAAAAAACAAAACAAAAAAAAAAACAGGCTAGGCTAAGCTATGTTCAGTAGGTTCTGTGTAATAAGTGAAGTTTCAGGTTGGTGTGTTGTACTTATGACAGATTTATTGGGATATAACACCATAGGAGGTAAAAAGCATTTATTTCTCTTCATTTCCCTTTTCTTTCTTTCTTTCTTTCTTTTTTTTTTTTTTCTTGAGACAGTCTCACGTCGCCCTGGGTACAGTGTGGCATCATAGCTTATAGCAACCTCAAACTCTTGGGCTGAAGCGATTGTCCTGTCAGCCGCCCAAGGAGCTGGGACTAGGTACCTGCCAAAACACCTAGCTAGTTTTTCTATTTTTTTTAGTAGAGATGGGGTCTTACTCTTGCTCAGGCTGGTCTTCAACTCCTGAGCTCAGGGGATCCACCTGCCTCAGCCTCCCAAAGTGCTGGGATTACAGGAGTGAGCAACCATGTGCCCACATGGCCTATTCTTACTTTATTTCCTTGTATATAGAAAGGCTTTGCGAATCTTCTTGGAATCTTCAGAGAGCCTGCAGAGTAGACACAATACCTTTTTTTTCTTAGCCTGTCCTTAGGAACTTCCTACCTCCTAGATCTCATCTAATGCAGACTTTCTGAGCCTTAGCTCAGTCCAGCTTCCAGTCACAATGCACCTTTCTTCCCTAGATGGCTAGCCTTTTTGTCTTTGTGTCCCCATGTTGGACACCTGGTGTAGAGTGAACTACTGGATAGGAAGAATTGAGAAGTCAACCCAGTGACTTACTTTATAAGCCACTAACTTACCTTTGATTGGGTGGACTTAGGCCTCCCACTTTTCATTAAAAGCTAGAGGATATTGCATTTAAGTAGGGAACAAGAAGCAATGAAATTCTTTTTCTTTTGAGACACAGTCTCATTCCATCACCCTGGGTAGAGTGCTGTAGCATCTCATCATAGTTCATAGCAACCTCAAATTCTTAGGCTCAAGCAGTCCTCTTGCCTCAGCCTCCTGAGTAGCTGAGACTACAGGCGCCTGGCACTATGCCTGGCTATTTTGTGTTTAGTAGAGACAGGGTCTCGCTCTTGCTCACGCTGGTCTCCAACTCCTGAACTCAGGTGATCCTCCTGCCTCGCCTACCAGAGTGCTGGGATTACAGGTGTGAGCCACTGCAACCGTCCAGGATGCTGGGATTATAGGTGTGAACCACTGCGCCCAGCCAGCAGTGAAATTCATGAGAGGCCACTTAGTGATTGGGAGGGGGGAGAAGACTAAAAGGAAGAATAACGAAGGAAGAACAGAGGGGTGTTGGATAGGAAGATACTATAAGAGAAGTGGAATCTCGAAACTAAAGAGGAGACTCAAAGATCTTTAGTCCCGTGAATATACACATACATACATGGAACTCAGATCAAATGAAATCTTACATGGAGGCCCATTTCAGTCATCAGAACCATTAGCATATTAGTATGTATTGAGCACTTACGGTGCCAGGTATAAGCCTCAGCTCTTTTCAAATAGGATCTCATTGAATTCTTCCAACAACAAAAATAGGTAATGTTATTAGCCCCGTTTTATGTAAGGGAAACTGAGGTACAGTGAATAAGAATTCTGTCCATGGTTGGACAACTAGTCAGTGACAGAGTCAAACCTAAAGCCTCTCTCACTCTGAAGCCCATTTCCTAATCATGGTATAAACTTCCTGTAGAAGTGGAAGGCCTGGGGGTCTGGAGACCTATGGAACACCGATCAAACCTGGATCCATTCCTAGCTTCCTGATTTCACAGATGGTGTTATGGGAGCTTCAGTCAATTACCTGAGGTCACCTGTTAACAGCAGAGCTGGACTCAAACTTAACCATCTCTTCTATCAGATGATAGAAGAACTTCTAATCAGTTCTCAGATGGAAAGGGTGTTAGGGAGATTACGCAGGGTTAGGAAGATGTGGATAAGGGAAACCCTCACCCAAGAAATGGAAGAATGGAACACAGGATTCCTGATCACTGCTGCCCAGGAGCTGTCAAAAGATGATCTCAGCTTTGCCATTGTGACATCTTTGCAGAATTTCCCTTGTGCCTGAAGGCCTCTGTTGATGTAGAGGACAGATGGATAGAGGAATGATACTCTCTTTTGATGAGATAAAGTATTTTTGAGCATACCTTCATTTCCTGCTGAAAATATATTTTATTCCTTCCTCCTCCACCACAAAATGTACTTCACTACTTTAAAATACTTGGAAAAACTTTAAAAACCTTTCTGGATATACAGTGGACCTTATTTTTTTCTCTCTCCAGAATTTCTCCATGATCTGGAACAAAAGGAAGGGAACTTTTGTTTACTTAGCACCTGTAACATACAAGCCATTTTATATCTTACCTCATTTGTTCCTCACAACAATACTTGTCAGGCATTGCACCTATCCTACAGATGAGAAAACCAAGGCAAAGAGAGGTTAAGGAACTTGCTTAGTCACTAGATTAGAACCAGGCTGTAAGATTTATAGGGTAAGCTCTTCCCATGCCAGCCTGCCATCTTGTTGATC